GGGAGTACACCCACAACCATATATAGGTTTGGCAGAGGATAATTCTAAATACACATTTGCATGTGCTGCAAATATATCCATGTATACAGTGGAGCACGAGGTACACAGGTATGAAAACTTCTTAGCCATAACCAAACATCTTGAAGGACTGAGTCACTAGGCTTGAGGGCTTAGGACCATAGTCTCAGGGGACATCTAGGTCAGCTGGCATAACAGAGTCCATAAAGACAATGTTCCGCATTCTACTTTAGTGAGTAATGACTGAGGTCTCAAAAGTTTGCAAGCGAACATCTAGGATAAAACTATTGGTCTCTTCTCATCTAGAGCAAAGAAGAGTGAAGAAAATCAAAGTCTCAAGGAAACAGTTAGTCCAAAGGACTAACAGACCACACGAACCACAGCCTCCATTAGCCTGAGACCAGAAAAACTAGACAGTGTCCGGTTACCACTACCAACTGCTCTGAGCAGGATCACAGTAGAAGGTCCTGGACAGAGCGGGAAAAAAATGTAGAACAAAATTCAAATTCATAAAAAAGACCAGACTCACTGGTCTGATAGAGACTGGTGGAACCCCCAAGACTAAGGCCCTTAGATACCCTTCAAACCTGGAACTGAACCCACACCTAGAGATCACCTTTCAGCCAAACAATAGACAGGCCTATAAAGTGAACAGGAACTCCTGTGAGGAATGTGCTTCTCAGAACAATCAACCATAGGAGACCAAAAGGGCAGCATTTAGTTCAGAAGGCAGGAAGGGACAGGAAAGATGGGCGAGTGGAAACGAGGAACTCGGAGATGAACTGGGTAGAGTGCTGTCACACTGAGGGAGTTGCAACTAATGTCACGAAACAAAATGTGTATAAATTGTTGAATGGGAAACTAATGGGTCTGCAAAATTGCACCCAAACCACAATAAAATGTTCAAAAAAAACCCATCATAAATATTCTTAATGATGAAAGTTTAAAATCATTCTCCTTGCAATAAGAACCAAGACCTGATGTACACTGTCACCAGCCCCACTCAACATTACACAGCAACAGCTCAGTAAGACAAGAAAAAGAAACAAGAGGAATAAGAAATGCATCATTATTCATAAATGATATGATTGTCTACATAAGAAACACAAAAGAATATACAAATTATTACAAATAAAAAGAGACCAACAGGTTCTCTGGAAAAGAAAAAAGCAATTTTCAAAACCTACTGCACTGCTAAAGCCAGCAATAAACAGAAATTTTATTTTTTAAAATGTATCATTTACCTAACAGTAAATCTAATAAAACTTTTTGGAGATAATTATAAAACTTAATTGAAAGACACAGAGAAAGTTGTAAATAAATGGAAACATATATCATGTTTATGAACAGGAAGAATCAATGTCAAAACTCGTTGCCATCAAGTCCATTCCGACTCATAGTGACGCTACAGGACAGAGTAGAACTGCCCCATAGGGTTTCCAAGAAGCAGCTGGTGGATTCAAACTGCCCATCTTTTGGTTAGCAGCCGAGCTCTTAATCATGGCGCCACCAAGGCTCCACAAATTAATTGCAAATTATTAAATTCCAATCAATATCTAACATTTTTCGTGGAAGTTGACAAGCCGTACTAAAATTTATATAAAAGAATAAACACCAAGAAGAACAACAACAAAAAAAAAAAATTGAAAGACAACCAAGGTAGGGAAACTTAACCTACCAAGTATTTATTACCATGAAGATATAGTAATTAAGCCAGTGTAGTATGTGTTGGAATCGACTTGATGGCAACTTACAGTAAAAGTAATGAGATAACAGCCAAATAGCGGTAGAACAGAATAAAAAGCCAAAAATAGACCCACACATGCAAAAAAACTTAAATGATAGAGGTGGCATAACAGAGAAAATCTCCATTAAAATCTTGTTAAAATGTAGATTCTGACATGAAAATCACCTGGAGATCGTGTTAAAATGTAGATTCTGATTCAGTGTATCTGGGGTGGAAATACAAATTCTCAGCACCTTCACGTGCAGGTTTTTTATCATTGTAAAAGGCTTCAGTCTTCTCTTGCACTAAGTAAGGCTAAATAAGAACTGTATGCAATCTCTTCGAACTTACCTACAAATTCAACGTAAAGACACACTTAGGAATAGATCTCATTTTGTAACCCAGGGACTGCCTGTATACTGTCAGGAAATGTCCCCAGGACATCCATATGAAAAAATAAAGTAGAACCCATCTCATACTATGCACAAAAGTCAATTCCAGTTTGATTAAACATATTGCTGCCAACTCGATTCCAACTCATAATGACCCTACAGGACAGAGTAGAACTGTCCCATATAGGGTTTCTAAGGAGCGGCTGGTAGATTCGAACTGCCAACCTTTTGGTCAGCAACCAAGCTCTTAACCACTGCACTACCAGGGTTTCCCAGTTTGATTAACAATCTGAATTTGAAAAGTGAACGTTTATTTCGTCTAAGGAACAGTTTTATGACCTCTGGGTAGGATATGATTTCTAAAAAACAACAAAGACTGATATATTTCCCATCATTAAAATGTAGAATTTCTGGACCTCGAAAGACATCATAAAAAAAAAGAGAAAAGATAAGCCAAAGACTCAGAGAAGATCGCTGCACACATAAAACCAACAGAGAATTAGTAACCAGAAAATACAAATTGGTTTGAAATCATGATGTTTACTTTTATTAATCACAGCCTTTTCCAGAACATCATTACTATTACAGAAGTGTTATACCCTAACCAAGAGTGCACCTAGAAGAAAAATAAAATAGGGACTATGTAATTAATACATTAAACAACATCCCATCTGTAACTGATACACTGACAGCCTCAACTCAGTGGGGTATAAACATCAAGTATTCCACCCCACTGACTCCTTTAACTTCCCCTTCTCTCTCCACCCTAGTGTTCTTATAAAAACTAGAAAGTAGGGTTGGAATGGTAGCTGGTGCCTTTAGAGCCACTTCTCCCACATCTTAGGAAGCCCTGTGGAAATATGTCCTGCCCCAATTATTGGAGGCTTTCTTTATAATGTGAGGTACTTAACCAAAAACAAACAAACCCACTGCCGTCGCGTCAATTCCAACTCACAGCAACTCTATAGAACAGAGTAGAACTGTCCCATAAGGTTTCCAAGCAGCAGATGGTGGATTCGAACTCCTGACCTTTTGGTTTGGTTAGCAGCTGTAGCTCTTAACCACTGTGCCACCAGGGCTCTACTTTTTTCAATTATTTGGCCCTAGGGACAATTCCAGATCAATGAAAGAAGTCGCACTCAAAATATTAACATAAGAATAAAAAAAAGACAAAAATCAAACATTGTTGCTTGGAGATAGTCTTGACTTTGATATATGATTTTATACAGTTAAATTTATTTTCATAAATTGATTTCATTTTGCCTTTAATTACTAAAGGAAAGGTTATCTGGAAGAAAAGTTTTTAGTTCAAACTATGCAATTGTCACTATGAGCCACAAGAGGGCAGCAGTTTCAAAGATTGAACTGTGAATAAGGCATGAAAAGAACTACATTAAATCGAAGAGCAATATAAATTATTGAGCCGGTGAACCAGAAATTTTAACTATAATAAAACAAAACTTAAAAATTATTATTCTAGAGGTTTTAATGTAGAACTTAAAGGCTGGAAGAAAACTAAGAGATGTCTTTTATTTAAGAAATTTCATTTGTTTCATTTTTGTTTTTCTCCTATAAATCATGCATGTGGACATATATAAATCTAATACACAAATTCTATGTAAAATTACTTACTATAGGACAGTAACTCACATATGGATAGGGCTTTGCACTTTTTAAAGTACTTTCATACATATACTAGTTTGTATTTTTCACTTTATAAAGCTCTCTGAAGTAGATAAGAAGGAAATTAAATCTTTTTCACACATGAAGAAACTGAAGTTTGGAGAAATGGGTGTCTTGAAGGTATTTCTCATTTTTAAGTCTTTTATGTCATTACAAGATGACATAATGTCATCACAACTTCTCCACTCTCAGGCATCTAATTCATGATAAATAACTCTTCTGTTCCAGTTACTTCCACTTTAGCAAGTACTACAGGCAAAGGGAAGCTAGAGATAGTTGCATTACTACATTCCCGGGTATCTTCCTCTCATTCATTCATTCACTGTGCCAATATTTGTTGGGCATGTGTGCCAGGCATAGAAAGAGAGAGATCATCAAAAAATAAATAAATTCCGCCTACACGGAGTTTGCAATCCAGTGGTGGAAATAAATATTAAACAAAAGCTATATTACTACAAATAATGGCACGTGATATAAAGGAATCGTATGGGGTGTAATGAGATCTCAATAAGATATTCAAGTTTTATGTCAGTCACAAAAGCCTTTGAGTAGGTGACATTTAAGCTGAGATGGGAAGGCAGGCAGTGGGGGAAGGGCTTCAGGAAGGGGAACGGTTTATCCAATGCCAAGTGGGGAGTGCTTGGCTTGTCCAAGTAACTGAAACTTTCAGTGTGTCAGTGACTAGCACACATACTATGGAAGAAATAAAGTATACATACTTTTATATATTGTAATCAATGGAGCGGAGTTAAAAAGATATTACCAAGCCCTTCCCCTAAAGGGCAGAATGAAACAGATTGCTGGACTGAAGGATTAAATAACGGTTCAACTATTAGTTCACAAATTCTCAAGACAGAGAACCAGACTGGACAGTATGTTCTCTGTATCTCACAGGGATGAGGATCAAATGAGATAATGTATTAAAACTGCAAAATTTTCAGAGCAGTGTGAACATTTTATCTATTGGTTATTAATGTAAAGAAAGGTATATCCAGTTTCATTCCAGCCTTAATTCCTACCCCAAATATAAGACATTATTCACCTTTTTTAATACTCTAATCCAGGTTCACAAGAAATTTTCCTAAAATAGTAGTCTTTCTTTTGTCTTCTATAAATCTACTTTTCCTCTTAATGAAAAATTATAAAATTAATATATAATGCAAAGCCTATGTCAAACTTACGTTCCAGTGCATTATAAAGAAGTTCAAAATCTTCTTCTGTTTTAGGATTATGCCTCCGGTAATAATCCATTTTCATCCATTCCTCTTTTTCTCTTATCTTCCTTAGTTCTTCTTGTAATTCCCACTCCAACCTCAACTTCTTCTGTCTTCTTAACTCCTCTACCACAATTTTAGCATGCCATTGCCTGTAGTAAGTCTGTAACACTATGACCTATAGTTAAAAGGAAGTAAGAATGGCCTATTGTCAGCTTTTTTAACAGGCAATAAAGAAAGGCAATGATGATTGCAATTCCCATTCAGCAAAAAAAAGAACAAAACACTGACAGTCTAGTTTTTGCCTCCACGCCAGATATTCTCAATACACTAGGACATAAAGCCCATAGATAATGAACACCACTGCTATTTGACTTTGAAAGCTAGCAAATACACCCTCATGGGGGGAGGGAGACAACTATTACAATGCTTAAAACTGTAGGCTCTGGAGTCAACCTTAGCTTGCATCTCCACTCTGCCACTTATTAGTTGTTTGACTTAGGGAAAGTTACCTGCCTTCTCAGTAGCCTTATCTGTAAAATAGTGAAAACAACAGTATGCATATAAAGTGCTTAGCCCAATGCCTGGAATAGCATAAGTCCCCAGTAAATATTAATTAGTGTTATGAATATTAATTATTTTTAGTGTCTCTTAATTACTATTAGCTGAGACTCACACTTATAACAAAACTATATTTCCTAAATGCACACTAGCTAAGCTGTGAGAGAAATGACCAAAGGCAGGTTAGATAAAAGGGAGACTTAAGAAAAAAAGTATTTATTTAGCTGTGATGGACATAAATATGGTTAAGAGTTTGGCCATAGTACCTGACCCTCAAAAAGCTTGTAAAATAGCTGAAAGAGTTTATAATTTTCTTTATGACATCGAGAACAGAGGATATGCTGACACATCCCCTTCCCTCACACTCATCCCTGATAATTACAGAAAAACTATGTAAAGCAGAAATCAATAAAAACATTGGATCATATTGAAGGGGTGCCTCCACAGGAATAAAAACTTTGAAGAATCCCCCCAAGAAAAGAGGCAGGTGGAATCAACTGAAGAAGGAATCTTCTGGAGAGGCAGGCTAGGAAATACAGAAGTTGCTCCAGGGCTGCTTCAAGCTCCAAACTGAGGGATGCTAAGAGCAAAAGAGGGTCTCGGGGTGACTAACAAGCGACTGTTTCAAAAATGCAAAAGGGACAGTCTCCTCTAAAATAATTGAGGCAAACAGCAACAAGTATTCATACCTAGGCAAGAGTGATTTATATCCCAGAAGGCTGGTGTACTCAGGAAGAAGCTCCTCTTATCCAGAAAACTAGCTAGCTGATTCTCCCAGTATCAGCCTTGTCCGTCCCTAAAGCCACTGGGGCCAGGCTGTGGCGATCAAATATGCTGCTAGCACTCCGGACATTAGGAATGTATAATGCTCTATGCCTGTGCATCTGAGAATAACCAAACATTTGAGAAGAGCCAACAAAATAAAAAGCTCCTCCCTCAACCAAAGCGAAGAATTTACACTTGTGTGAAACAGAATTACTAGAGCAGAGATTCTCCAAGTGTGGCCCCCAACCAACAGTTTCAGCACCACCTGGAAAATGATGAGAAATACAAGTTTTCAGGCCCCACCTGAGTTACTGAATCAGAAACTTTGGGATGGAGCATAACATTTTACACATTAACAAAGCCCTCCAGGTGATTCTGATGCATGCTGAAGTTTCTGAGCTACTCTACTAGAGTAAAGAAAACAAGACCAGAGTAGCTAAAACTAACATTTTTAGAGAAGGGAAAAGCTACTGAATCAATATAAAAGAACAAGCAAAAGAGTGTGACAATTAAAATTTTTATTTTTGAAATAAAAAATTTTAAATAAACTATGTATTAGCTTGCGTACAATAATGAGACATCAAAAACCAGTTGTTTAAATAACCTAGTAGATTTTGCCCTGCCACATACCAATCCGGGGATGATGATGATGTTGTTAATGCCGTCGAGTTGGTTCCGACTCATAGCGACCCTATGTACAACAGAACAGAACACTGCCCAGTCCTGCATCATCCTCACGATCGTTGTTATGCT